TCTCTCTCTCTCTCTCTCTCTCTCTCTCTCTCTCTTTTCAAGTTGCTGCACTCGTGAATTTCGAGTCGAGACTGAAAGAATTTGCGGGTTACAACGGCACGCGAAATCCGTGCCCATGGCACGACGTTCCCCAATTTTTCTTTTTTCTTTTTCTTTTCTTTCCTTTCGGGAAAAATTCGCTTAAAATGTTTCCGTCCGGGATAGTATCGCGAGAGCCCCGAACTCGTTTTGAATTCTATGCTCTGCACTTCAACATTTGATAATTACCTTATTGATTGTTTCTCGATGTAATTTATTTGAGGAAGAGAAAAAGAATCGAGTTAAAAAGAAGAGAAGGAATTCAACTTAACTCGAATAGTTAGTCGGATTATCGCAGCCACTGCAACGTGACGATCATTTGAAACAGCATGAAATCGAAACAGAGCGTGGAACAAGCGAAAGAAGGGAAACGAGGGGAGGGGGAACAATTTTGTTCGATCGAAAATTTTTTATTTCGCCGCGTTTACGCGAGACCCGGTGCACGATGCTTAAAACAGAATACAAACAATATGGTTCGCAGGTGTAAATAAAATCGTTCCGCTTCTCACTTGCTCGGCGCTATGCAGTGAATTGTATGAAACTGAAATTACTGTACCGGATATTAAAATTTACACATTACTCCTCCGATGAAAATGACCGGCGCTTTTGTTTATCTTTCCTCGCGCAGTAAGTCGCTCTGCATCGTAATTGAGATATTCATTGTCGATATATATATATTTACTTTCAGTCATAAAAATTCAGATGCTAATTTCTTAATGGAATGATAGTGACTGTTCAACAAAGAGAAACTGTATTTATTTATTTTTCATTGACACAATAGTTTAAATTTTATAGAAAATTATATATCAATAAGTTATGTTCTTTTACAATATACTATATAGTTTAGTAGTAATAAACTACTACAGTTTACCATTTCTTCGCTAATTATTCAAGTATCTAAGAGAAAGAAATACAAATACACAACAATTTAAATTTTCTAACGTGACAGTACTTACGTATAATGGTTGTCTTTCTTTTTTTCTCTCAATTATATGACAAGAGACGTTTGATCCAAATGATATAAAAAAGTGATACTTTATTAAAATTTCGCGTGAAATTCCACCCCTTTCTCCCGCTTTTGTATTACAGGCCGGCGGCAGGCCTGGAATTGAGCGGCTGATTCTCCAAAATTCCATCACATCACATAATATTCCTCGCAATCAAAGTCCAACGTTTCCTCGATCGTTGTTTTTTCTCACCCCTCTATCTAACGCTTCAATAAAAGACCACCTCTCGGTATTCTCGATTTTATAAACCTTCGACGCAAACGGCCGTCGCGGCTTTGACAGTGGCAATCTCGCACTCGGAATATATATATATATATATATTCGAATATACCGCGCGATGGAAGACAAATAACTGTTAGAAACGGAAAATTCGTCATAAAACTGTAAATAACAGCTCGATCGAATTTTGTGCGAAATCTCCACTCTTAAATAAATAGCAGTGAACTCTCGAAATACTTTGTTTGAGCTTGGATAAATGGATAACGGTAATTACAAAGATTGTGGAACTTCACTGTTTACTACTTTCCATCAATTATTATACAAAAGACATTGTGCCAGAATGCATTCGTATTAATCGGAATTGGGATTAGAATTGGACCATTCATATCACGAATAAACATATAATATCACACACTGCGACAAAATATATCATACTTATGAAAATTATTCTACAAGTATCAGCGATTGATGCTCATTATGTAGACATAATCGGTACGACGTAGAAAAAAAACAGTAAATGTTAGTATACAAACGTTTTTCAAGCAGAGAAAGTACGTGTGTGTGCGTTTGGCAGTCATTCATCATGTTAATTGACGAGTCACTCCCTCGTCATTAATCCATCACGCGAGAATTCGGTTACTCGCGAGATATTAATACATAAATCACAGGTATGTGATGTGGGTTGTCAAATCGCGTGCGAAAAAGAAAATTGACACCACGGGATCGACGTAGTTTGACGCGAACACTCGCGAAACGGATCGACCAACTTAACCATCCATTTCTTAAAACGCTGTCAATCCCTCACGGGATTGAGTTCAGTCGCGCAGTGCTCGCCGTGACAAACTATCAAATCACTTGATGCCAGAGAAATGCAAGCATTCACGGTGCTGGGCCAGCCAGTGGCAGTTCACTCGGTGCAACTTCCCGTGTTAGCAAAGCGATTGCCAAACCAAACCAGATATGAAATCCATCCCTCTATATATATTATGCACGTGTGTAATCTATGCACGTGTGTACGCCTACGTACGCGTGTGTGTCTTACGTATCCCTGGACACTTACGCGGTAGACGTGGTGGTTATGCGTCCGGCGTGGCATGTGTTAATGCGTTCCTATGCTTGCGAATTGGCCTCACACGTGTCTCGAATACGTGTGACGGTGTACGTGGGTGGGCGCACGCGCGCGCGCGCGCGCTGGATCAAGATTGATAGGGTACAAATCGCAACACGTACGGAGCATCCACTTAGCAGTGCATTATCCCGATGAGAATGTGTACAGGGCCTGGATCTCTTACCTAATGCAACGGTTGCAATCCTGATAATAGCAGCCACTTGTCCGCGGAGGAGCAGGCTTGAAACGGGACTAATCGGCAATTTCGACCGTTCTGCGAGAACGATCCTCTCGGAACGGTCGAAGTAAAAGAAACGCCGAGAAACTCGTTCCATCTCGTTAAATATTGCAACGAAAGTTGTATATTAATATTCTTACGTGTACGTGTACTTTGCACGTTTCTGCAGTTTTTTTCTTTTTTTTTTGAAAATATTAGAAAATCTGCGTCCTGCAATGTTAATGAGTGAACGTTATTCGTAATGTATTATTTCTTTATGATATGAAAGATACAGTGTACAATGCATTAATAAGTAATATATGCCAACGATATAATATAGAGTT